TATATATATATATATATATATATATAACTGTTTTCCCTATTTTTTATTTTATACTTTTTCATTTTATTAATATATTTTATCCCTATCCATCATCTCTTAACCTTTTTGAAGTTCCATTATTTATTAACTTTTTAATCACCTTTTTATTTCTCTCTCTTGGAATCTTATAACTTTTTTTGATATTTTTATACCCACTGAATATTCCCTTCAGGTTACCTTTTGTCTGTATCATTTGAGCACCCATCCATAAGTCTTTTTTTTTAAAGAGATTTTTCTTTTTTTACTCTGTTTTATTATATGGTTTTAAGGAATTATCTATTTGACTCCTACTTATCAATCCTTTCTCTTCATTGTCTTTCTCTTCTTGCATCTCATTTTGATTTTTCTCTTCCACTTCTTCTAATTTCTCACCTATTTTCTGAATATCATGTTCATCTTTTTTCCCCCCAGTTGTTGACAGGCTTCTACTCATTTCCTTATCTGTAGACAATCCCCTTGTCTCCTTATTGTTCTTAATTGTTTCATGCATGCTTACAATTTGATAAAAATTACTCAATATATCTCTATGGTTCCAACGTCTCAATATTTAAAAACTCCAACAGAGTCAATTATTAATAAGATTTTAGTCAATCTCATAACTTCGTTTTCACTGGCAGACAGTTGCAGGAGGCTATCGCAGCCAAAAACAGAGCCTGGGAGTCTTTTTCCTGTGGCAGAGCGCCTGGGTCACTACAGGCACCCAACACAAGTTACATCGAGCTGGCCATGCCCATCCTGGCCACGCCCATTCCCCCAAGGTCATACACAACCCTGATGCAGCACTCAATGAAATCGAGTTTGACACCCCTCCTCTACAGTTATTCCATGGAATTTAAGGCAATATTCTTTGGTCACTAGATCATCAACCAAGCCAGACCTGTTTCACTTCAGGATGGTTGGCTGTATTTGATTTACTTTCACTTTCTGTTCCTAATTTAGAAGAGAATGATTCTGACTTCTGATTGACGTTGCGGCGAGAATGGCTTGGAAAATATCTAAAATATCCTCCTCCCCTATTTTCTCCACTGCAGCAACCCTATGAGGGAGGTTGGGCTGGGAAAAAGTGACTGGCCCCAAAGTTGCTGAGTCGATTTTTCATGCCTAAGAGAGGACTATGGTTTCTAGACCAACTCCTTAATCACTATACCAAACTGGCTCGCCCTAGACATTTTATAAAAGAGAGACTATTTTTCCCCGATGGAACTTGTAGAACAGGAGTTCCCAACCCCCGATCTGTGACCCGGCCCATTGGGAACCAGGCCACGCAAACTTCACAAAGCTACCTGTGTGCAAGCAGCTCACTTGCGTAAAACAATTTCCTTTCCCTCCCACCACCAGCAGTCCACAAAGCTGAAAAGGTCAGGGACCCCTGATTTAGAAGACACAGATTTCAATTACTACTTCTGTGAACTATAGCCCTATTAGCACAAAAGTAAGTCTCATTATCTAATGGAATCTTTCAATGCTCCATTTGTCTCCTAAAATCTTACTTTCAAAATTCACTAATTAAAACTATAATTGATAGATGTGTGGACTGTGTCGTTATGACTGTTTTTTTTCTTTTCTTTGTCTTTAGTATGTTTCTGAAGTAGTGATTGGAGCTCCCTATTCAGTCACCGCCGATCTGCTCGATCATTTCAAGGTGAGGATGTCTGATTTCTTTCTCTTTCTTTCTTTCTTTCTTTCTTTCTTTCTCTCTCTCTCTCTCTCTCTCTCTCTCTCTCTCTCTCTCT